CTTTTGCCATCTGACCCCCATCTTTGCCCCCCCCCAGGGTCCCCCCGGCGCCCCAGGACCCCGTGGGCTACAGGGACCCAGCAGTGCCGAGGTGAGTACAGCCCTGGGGGGCTCGCTGGGGGGCTGCCGGGTGGAGGGGCTGCCCCCAAAGTGGGTACAACCCCCCTCCCACCCCCCATATTCTTGCCTTTAGGGCCCCCAGGGGATGCCGGGTGGTGTGGGGCAGCCCGGTGCCATGGGAGAAAAGGTAAGCCCCGTGTTTTTGGGGGGGGAAATGTGGGGCACCCAGCACCCAGTATCATCTGCCCCGTTGTTCCCAGGGTTCCCAGGGCACGGAGGTTTCTTCTGGGGGTGATAAAATGAGAGTGGGGGGCAAATCCTGCTCTTTTGCCTTTAGGGCCCCCAGGGGATGCCGGGTGGTGTGGGGCAGCCCGGTGCCATGGGAGAAAAGGTAAGCCCCGTGTTTTTGGGGGGGGAAATGTGGGGCACCCAGCACCCAGTATCATCTGCCCCGTTGTTCCCAGGGTTCCCAGGGGGAACCGGGAGAAGCGGGAGCCCCCGGAGCCCCCGGGGAGCCCGGACCACCCGTGAGTGTCACAGAAGGGCACGGGGGTGTCTTCTGGGGGCGATAAAATGAGAGTGGGGGTCAAATCCTGCTCTACGTGGCCACGGGAAGCGCAGGCAGAGCTTCCAGTGAACGTTTTACTGCCCCTTCCCTGCTCTTACGTGACCCCCCCGCCCCCCCCGTCCCTCCCCAGGGTGTGAAAGGAGACGTGGGGGAGAAGGGGGACGCGGGGCAGTCGGGAGCAGCGGGACCCCCTGGCAAAAAGGGCCCCCCAGGAGAGGATGGAGCCAAAGGCAACCTGGTAAGAGGAGAAAAGAGGCACAGAGAGATGGGGGGGGTGCTGCCCTGAGGCCCCGTGTCCCCCCCGGGGGGGGACAGGAACTAATCCCTGTCCCTGCCTCTGATTCCCAGCACGCAGAGGGTCTGGGGTTCCCTCCCAGTCCCCCCCCCAACTCGTGTCCCCTTCTCTCTGCAGGGTCCCATCGGGTTCCCTGGTGACCCTGGCCCCCCCGGAGACCCCGGTGTGCCGGTGAGTACCCCCCTGCTCCCCCTTTGGAGGGGGTGCAGAGCAGAAGAAGCCCCACTTCTGGGGGTCACTCCAGGGTTGGAGTCACCCCCGTGTGTCCCACAGTGCTCCAGTGTCACCCTGGGGTGGTGACGGGGTTGGGAGGTGCCAGGACACCCCATTTCTCTCCTTGGTTTTGTCACGTGTCCCCACAGCCCCAAGGGGGGTGGCGGGGGGGGCTCAAATAAGTGGGTGCTCACCCTCCTCTCTGTCACAGGGTCTGGATGGAGCTGCTGGAGAGAAGGGTGACAGTGGGGACCCTGGGCTGCCGGTGAGTGCAGCAGCTGGGGGGGGGGATCCCCACTGCAAAAAGTGGGGGGGTCACCTTCCCAGTGGGACCCCCCTAGACTGGGGGGGTGATCCCTGCTCATCCCCACTACAAAAAGTGGGGGGGTCACCTTCCCAGTGGGACCCCCCTAGACTGGGGGGGTGATCCCTGCTGCTTTCCTGGGGCTATTCCCCATCCCGTGCCCCCAGTCCCAGCTGTGGGACCCTCCCCTTCCCCCCAAATTCCAACTGGGTTCGTTTCAGGGTCCACCAGGAGCGTCAGGGGAACCGGGTCCCCCGGGCCCCCCCGGCCGGAGGGTGAGTAAGGAAAGGGCGAGGATGAGACGGGGTGAAGTGGGGCTGAGAGTGGGGCTGGCCCGGGCCACCACGCAGCTCCCGGTGTCTCTGTCCCCACATCCAGGGACCCCTGGGACCCATGGGGCGTGAGGGTCGTCAGGGCGAGAAGGGTGCCAAGGTGAGCGGAGGCCCCAGTGCCCCCCCAAACCCACTCCCCTCCAGGAGCCTCCCACCACCCTGGGGAAGTCCACCAGGAGCATCAGGGGAACCGGGTCCCCCGGGCCCCCCCGGCCGGAGGGTGAGTAAGGAAAGGGCGAGGATGAGACGGGGTGAAGTGGGGCTGAGAGTGGGGCTGGCCCGGGCCACCACGCAGCTCCCGGTGTCTCTGTCCCCACATCCAGGGACCCCTGGGACCCATGGGGCGTGAGGGTCGTCAGGGCGAGAAGGGTGCCAAGGTGAGCGGAGGCCCCAGTGCCCCCCCAAACCCACTCCCCTCCAGGAGCCTCCCACCACCCTAGAGAAGGACTGGACGCCCCCCAAAATGTGGGGCTGGGTCCCCAGGGGTGCCAGTCTCAACTTTGTGGGTCCTCCTGTCCCCCAGGGCCAACCTGGCACCGAGGGACCACCTGGGAAGACAGGCCCCGTGGGGGCACAGGGACCACCAGGCCGGCCCGGCTCCGAAGGCCTACGTGGGATCCCCGGCCCTGCTGTGAGTTGGGGGGCTGTGGGGAGGATGTGTGGGGCTGCCCCTCTCCCCAATGGGCCCCGTGGGGGCACAGGGACCACCGGGCCGGCCCAGCTCCGAAGGCCTACGTGGGATCCCCGGCCCTGCCGTGAGTTGGGGGGCTGTGGGGAGGATGTGTGGGGCTGCCCCTCTCCCCAAATCCCTGGCCAGCTGCACCTGGGGGATGTCCCCCTCGGGCATGGGGGGGTCACAGCTCGGAGGAGGGTTTTTTGGGGGGGTTTCTCTCCCACACTGAGTCTTTTCCAGGGGGAACAAGGTTTGCTGGGGGCTCCGGGACAAGCGGGGCCACCCGGTCCCTTGGTAAGTTGGGGTGAACTGAGCCCTGAGCAACAGGGGGGGGTCCCAGCTGGGCACGTTTTGGGGGTGCGTGACACCCCCCCGGCCTTTTCCAGGGTCCTGTGGGCTTGCCCGGCCTCAAGGGAGACCCCGGCCACAAGGGAGATAAGGTGAGACAAGGTGATGGTTGGTGCTGGGGGTCCCTCACCCCGAATTTGTCCCCAAGTCCCCCCCCCTCGTCGTCATGGGGAGGGGGCTGCCTGACACCCCACTTTGTCCCCCCAGGGCCATGCTGGACTCATCGGGCTCATTGGACCCCCAGGAGAGATGGGTGAGAAAGGAGACCAGGGGCTTCCAGGCATCCAGGGCCCCCCAGGACCCAAAGGAGACCCTGTGAGTATTTGGGGGGGGTCCTCCCCTGAGCTGAGAGGCTGAATGAACGCCCTGGGTGGGGGGGGGACAGGGTACAGCCCCCTCGAGCTCAGGGCTGATGCTCTCTCTACCCACAGGGTCTGGCTGGACCCACCGGCCCCACTGGGCCCCCTGGCCCCCCCGGGCTCTCGGTGAGTATCTGTGTGGGTTCAAGGAGGGTCTCCTGCCCCCCCTTTAACCCCCCCACAGACCCCTGGGGGCTTCGTCCCCCAGGAGGGTGAGAGGGGCAGTGGGGAGCCTGAGCCCCAGGGGGGACCCCAAGTCCTGGGGGGGGTAGTTTGGGGGTGACTGCCATGCCCAGCCAGTGCCCCCCTTCTCTTCTCTTCCCCACAGGGCCCCCTGGGCCAGAAGGGCTCCAAAGGCTCACCGGTGAGGGGGGGGACATACTGGGAGGGGGGGGCACAGCTCCTTATGTGCCTCCCTGGGGAGAACCTGGGCCACGGTGTTGAGTCCCCTTCTTTTACAGGGTGTTCTGGGTCCCCGAGGTGACACAGCCCCCCCTGGCCCCCCAGGACCACCACTGAGTAAGGGACACTCTGAACAGACACCACTTCATCTCTGTCCCCTCCCGGGTGTCCCCAAACCCCCCCCCCAACTCATCCTTACTCCCCACATCTGCTGCTGTCCCCCCTTCATCCCTCTCCATCCCAGGGCTCCCCGGCTGAGCTGCTGGAGCCGCTGCCCTCCAGCCGGAGCTGGACGAGGAACCGAAGGGCTCGTGGGGGGGCAGGGTCCCCCCCCGGATTACGAGGGGCTGGAGGAGTTGTACGCCTCGCTCAGCTCCCTGCGCACCGAGGTGGAGCAGCTCAGAAGGCCCCTGGGGACCCCCGAGAGCCCCGCGAGGGTCTGCAAGGAGCTGCAGCTCTGCCACCCCCACCTCCAGGATGGTAAGGGAGGGGGACAAGAGAGGGGACAGAGCAGGGGGGGCTTCACATCACGCCCTGGACCCTCTATCTGTCTGTCTGTCTGTCTTTCCTGCTCTCCTTCCCAGGGGAATACTGGATTGATCCCAACCAGGGCTGCTCCCGAGATGCTTTTCGGGTTTTCTGCAACTTCACGGCCGGCGGCGAGACCTGTCTGTTCCCCGAGAAAAAATTCGAGGCTGTGAGTTCCAGTGGAGGGATCTGGCTGTCCCCAAATGTTCCCAAATGTCCCCACACCAGCCCTCCCGGCACTGGGGAAACTGGGGAGGGCACCGTGGCGGGGTGGGGTGTAGTTTGGGGCTCACTTTTCCCCGTGCTCTTGGAGGGCCAGGGGTTGGAGGGGCTTCACCCCCATCATCGTCTCTGTCACACCTCCATCACCATCTCTGTCACCCCTGTCACTGTCCTGTCACCCCCCTGCCACCGTCTCTGTCACCCCCCTGTCACCGTCTGT